CCTCCTCCTCCTCCTCCTCCTCCTCCTCCTCCTCCTTCCGTTTCTCCTCCTCCTCCTCCGTTTCCTCCTCCTCCTCCTCCTCCTCCTCCTCCTCCTGCCGCCGCCCTCGCCCCCTGGCGGCCCGCGGCCATGAACGCCGCGACCGGGCAGTGGCACCTCAGGAGGGTCATCATCCGCTACAGCGAGACGGGCGGCAGCAGCCTGGGCACACGATTCTACCTGAGGCATCTGCTGCCGGTGTGGAAGGAGCGGAACCCGCAGGTCTCGCCACGAAGCAAACACTCGGGGGGGTCGAGGTCTTCTGGGAGATTTCCAGATCAAGGGAAGGAGCATGTAGGCGTTTCGATGGTTTCGGCGTCTCGGGCCCATCCCCCAGGCCAGGAGGAGGAGGAGGAGGAGGAGGAGGAGGAGGAAGAGCAGGCGGAGAAGGAGGACGAACAGATTGAGCAACCGTTCCTTCCCTCAAACCTGGCATCAAGAATACGCGTGGCAGAAGACCGCAAAGCTCTCGCAACCAAGGAGACAATTCGCAGCTAAACACATCAGGATAGCCAGGCAAGACAAACACGAGGGAGGGGAGGGCGAGGGAGTGGAGCAGGAGGCGTGAGCTAACGCAGAGGGATGTTCCCTGAGTGCGTACGCTTCGAGCGCCCGTTGTTGCCTCGGTTGGCCCTGACGGCGGCGCGCCCAGCTTGGGAGTCCCACCGCTGCCGTCGCAAAGAAACTTCCCCGGGGCCTGTTTCCCTGAGAGCATGGCAGCTCGAGGAGGCCTTCGGCAGACCCCCTTCCTTGGCTGCACTGATACGCCCGTGTTGAGATGCAACAGGGACCGTGTTCAAAACGCTCGTGCCAACACGCTGCGGGTTGGCTCGGCACGTGTTCGCCCGCGTTCTGGCGAACGTATCGCGCCAGGCCTGCGTGTTCAGTCTGCGTGTTGAGCTCCGTGTCGACGCGCTGCTTGCTGCGCGTTGCGTACCGGGGCAGCTAAAAGCCCCCTTCCCCGCCGTCAACGCGGGGACCCCCCCGCGGGCCGCCGTCTGGGGAGGCACCGTCTTTGCCGCGAGGCTCCAGCTCCCCCCCACCAAAGTGGCGGGGATGCTGGCGTGGTGTCGGTGTTCCTCGCCCCCTGACCCCTGAGAGGGATCTCGGCACGAACGAAATGTGTACGGAAAGAATGGGTACAATGCCCAACAGCAGTTCTTGTTCATTCTGAACAGGACTCGCTGTCCGCGCCGCCGCGGCTGTGTCCGTGTGAGACAGAAGGCCGCCTGCCCAACAGCGGCCGCTGTTGGTTTGGAACAACATTTGTTGTTGGTCATTGTTCCCCTTTTTTGTACCCTTTTCGGGCGTCCAAAGGATCGCCTCCTCCTCTGAGGTCCACGCCCCCCCGCAGACTGTGCGCCGCGGCCCGCCTTCGGAAGGCCTCCTCGTTGCCGAGACCCTGTCCCCTGGCCACGTGGGCGGCGATGACGACTTCCGGATGCCTCGCAGGCAGAGAGGCATGGACCCCCGCTGAAGCGCGAGAGGCCTGTCGGAAGCCTCTTGGGGGCAGGTTTGCGGGCGTCTTGGGGCTTATCGGGGGCTGGAGGCCTCGTGGGCCGTCTTGGGGCCTTCTTGGACCGTCTGGAGGCTCTCTCGGGGGGCTCTTGGGGACTACCTTGCGTCTTCCGTCTGGAGGCCATCTTGGGAGTTTGGGAGCGATCCTCGGCTGACTCGGGGCCCTCTTGGGCCGCCTTGCGGACTTCTTTGGGGCCCTCCCAGCCCGTTTGGGGGCCCTGCTTCCTGGAAGGTCTACGCAATATCAGGAGTGTCCGGCAGCATCCATAAGCGGTATGACTTTGACGAGGACGTTGACGATGAGGACGCAGAGGACCAAAATGAGAACGAGGAGATTTGGGAGGAGTGAGGTGGAGGGAATGAGGGATTGGACTGTGGTCGTAGCGAGGGGCTTCCGAGGTCTCCGTCGTGACCGAGCATTCCAGGATGGACCACCCGGAGCTCAAGGCCGAGTGGGTGCCGGGCGAGTCAGACTCATCTCGCTCCTCCTTCTGCTTCTCTCTCTGTCTCTGTCTAGCGCTCTCTCTCTCACTCCCCCCCTCCAGGGCCAGGCGCTTCGCCTGAGCTCACCGCACATTCCGCCTGAGTTCACCGCACATGAGGATGAAGCCCCGAAGTTTCCAACAGCTGTACTGGTGCAGGGCGGGCAGTTTTTCAATGAGACTCTCGCCTTAGCTCGTTTTCAATGTGGGGCTCCCGCCTTGGCCCGCGCACAAAGATAGAGGCAGCTCCTTCTCGAAGTGGGGGCCCTCGCTGGAGACTTCACCACTTGGCGTGGCCGGCGAAGGTGCTGCAGAAACCAAGAGATGAATGGTGGGTCCTGGTCAAAAGTGGGATCCCGCTGCACCCTTCCTCGAAGCACGCAGCAAGGGCTCCGAGCCTGAAAGCGGGGCCGTCGCTGGGCATGTCCTGCAAGTTCACAGGCCTACCACTGCGCGCCCGCGGCAGCTTGAGAGGTGCAGGGGAACTCATTTTGCAAATTGGGCTCTCCGCCTGAATGGCAGGTCCATGGGACACTCGTTCTCCAAGGGGACGGCGCCCTCTTGTGGTGAGAAGATTGTTTGCGGGGATCGATGGCTCGGCACCGCTCGGACGTGTGCATCGTTTCGGCGAGGGCCATCGAGGCGCATCCTGGATCCTCCCGCGAAAAATGCACACCCGAGGCCGAGAGCTGCACGGGGAACGGACGTCCGAGCGATGGCAAGAAGAGGAGGGGACGTGGGACGGGAGGGGCATGCTGCCGCATCGTTGAGCATGCGTCGGTTAACCTTGGTCATT